AAGCTGCTCTTCATATTAGTGACAAACAATAACAGTAACAACAGCTTTTTGTCAAGTTTAAAGTTTCTTTAAAATACATTAAAAATATTAAAAAATAAACTACAAAAAATGTATTTGATAAAGTGCAAATTAAAATATAGTTGTATCTGCAACTACATTTGATAATGTTTTGAACTTTTAAAATATTACATGGTTAGAAACAGAAGCTGCTCTTCATATTAGTGACAAACTTTGGTGTTTTTTGATGAGTTACTTTCATTTTTTCTTCTACTTTTCATTTAAAATAAGTTTCCATTCTCAGCAGGTTTCTAAGGTTCTTCTTCTACATATTAAAAGTTGTTAAACATCTGAGTGGTGCACTACTGCTACTAGTGGTGAGAAAGTGTATTGCATCTTATTCAAAATCAATGCGTCCCTCTGCGGCCCAAAGTTAAAATTTGTTGTTGTTTTGAGGCCCTCAGGGTGGCGCTTGTGGCCCATGAGTTAAAAATCTCTGGTTTAGAAGAATAAAAGTTGTTAAGTGGTTTCAGAAACAAAGCCTTTAATGAACCTGCAGCATCTCTGCGTTTCACAGGCAACATACGAGTTTTCTGCCGGGTCCGACCCGTCAGTCAGGAGGAGCAGGACTCTGCTGACGCAGGAAACATGTTGAGCTTCGACTCGGATGATGACGCCATCCTCTACCTCTCTAACAAGGGCAAGGTTATGACCTTTGAGCTGGATCAAGTCTTCCCACCTAAGGCCTCTCAGGAGGAGGTGAGCTGGACAGTTATTGTTGTTATTATTATTATTAATTTTATTAATATTATTATTAGTAGTAGTAGTAGTAGCAGTAGTAGTAGTATTATTAGTAGTAATTTTGTGCAACAGTTCATATATCAAAACTTTCAGCTCATTTAAACCATTAGTGCTGTGATGTTTGGTATTTTAGTAACTTCAGATATTTAGCTTTTTTTGGCCACTTTTTTGCTATCTGAAAATAAATAGATCAACATCCTTAAAATCTTTATCAGTCTTTACTTGTTACCTTTTACTTTGGTTCTGCCCATTTGTGCAAATTTCAGCCTTCGACGGCTTCTTTTTTGGCTACATTTTTCTGTTATTTCAGCTATCTTTCTGCTCCTTTCTGCTATTCTAGGGCTAATTTCAACTTGTTTTGCTTCATTCTGCTTTTTATGTCAAATTTGGCCATAGGCCTGTCGCGATAGTCAATAAATCAATTAATCGCACGATAACTTTTTTTGAGGTCGGTAAAAAAAA